TTTTTGCTTCCATGAGCAAGTCTTCTATCGTGGACTCGGATGCAAGTGTACGTGCATTGTAGGTACAGATCGCCACCTTAATTCTTCGTGATCCAGGCGGCTTCCATTGGCCCTGAGATTTTAGCGGCCTCTCCGTACTCATCCTGCACGACGCTGAGAAATTAGGGGCTCTTTCAGGGTCAGGGGAATGAGGCTTGCTTTTTTTTTTTACTGTGTTTAGCATTTTGATACCCACGTATAGCTGGGCTCCGAACATGTGAGCTGGGTATACTCACGAGTAGCTTGCCGGGCTCTTCCAGAGTAGACATGAAGCTTATTTGTTGGAGGCGACTCCTAACCGCCTCTCATATACTTCCCAGTCACTTGATTTCAGGCCTTTGGTCGAATTGACTCGTAGAATACAATCCGCATAAGCAAGAGCGCACCCACACACGCATGCATGAATACGCCTAGCAAATACAGAAAGTATGTGCCAAATCAGCGCAGCAGAAACAGGGAGTCCATCCTCTGGATCCACCTGCGTCTCAGAGAAGCAAAGGTCGCTTTTGGTCCGCGATTAACCCCCTATCCGCCACCTGGGGACGCGCCAAGTAGCCTCGCGCCTAATCGGCTCGAGATCCCTCATATGAGGGAGATCCGTGGTAAACTGATACAAAACATAAGGTGTGAAAAATTTTTCAAACTGGATGTCGGGACTAAGCTGCATATAACCACAATATGTTGGACAACGACCACATACGAGAACATAAGACGACCTCATCAAAACAAAATTCCCAAGAAGTTCCTTCCTGGATTCATAAGCATTATGGTTTCCGATGACTCAAATGTGCGGTACAGTAGACTTTTTCAGGACGAAAGCGCAATATTATTGACTTTTGACTTAATTCTGATGATGCTAAAAGGTTACGACGATTCCCAGTTTAATCAACCTTGGGCATACATTATTCAATTTCACGTCTCAAGTTATGCTGTCCAGCTAGCTTTGCCGTTTCTATTACACAGTTCTCATATTCGTCCTTAATCATCATTTCTTAGTCACATCTCACTTTTTATAATGGGAATGAATCAGAGGGATCTTATCGAAGTGCGGAAAAAATTGTTCATATGAGGTCCGTGTTCCAAACGATCTCACAGTTCACACAAACAATCATCTAAATAACAACTCACTTGCCTATTTAAAGCGTAAACAGGTAGAAAAGTGTCGAGCAAAAACGTTTGCCATTTCTTCACTGCAGAAGTGGTGACGGCTAAAGTGCAAGTTCTGGCGCTACTTATCGTACTGATGTAAGCAAATTCCATATTCCGATCACTCCTATTGTACAACTAGCTATCTATCAAAATTCGTCAACATTCAAAAATTCCCTACCCCATTAGTTCACTGATTCACATCGAAAAGCAAAAAAGGAATGTTTAAATGTTAAGGCTATAAATAAACGCCGTCTCAAATATGATGTTCTCTACAGCGGCATGGTGAGCTAAAACAACAAGAATGATTGGAACGAAGATGAGTCGTCAGGTGGCGATAAGTGCGTCGGTGAGAAATGGTTGAGAATGGGAGGAAACTAATCACGTACTTCCTCTGAGACGCAAATAGGTTCAGAGATTAATCATTTGGCTTTACTATGTCGTGATGATCTATATCTCATCATGGCATTATGAAGCCAAGTAGCCAAGTTTTTTTTCCACTTTTTGGAAACTTGGCGGCTGAGCCATTGTGGTTTCGTGGGATCCCGAGGTCAGCCTGGCCAAGGTCTGCCCCGGGTACATGTGACTAGTCGGCAGATATATGGACGACAAGGGCATCTGTAGCGTAATGATTAGAGGTGCGTTAGAATAAAAACCGTAGATATAATCACAATCTTAACCCTTTCATTTACTGCCTTTTTCTTTTTAATGGCAGGGTATGTTGCGAAATATAACTCGTATATAATGCCGAGATATTTGCAAAACTCCAGACCGCAGGTGTATGCGGTGGGGAACGAACACGCGCTGTTGTGCTCACCGGGGAGCAGCGCACTTCACCACCACACCATCAGGGTCCTTCGTTTTACCTGTCTCTCAGCTAGTTCTATTGATCTTTTGCCATCAGCAATCACCAGTCAACGGAATTGATTTAGAGAGCCCAAATCGGCATTGAACCCAGTTAAGCTGAGGCTTATTTATAATTATATTATAATGCTGAAGGAAGGGATCCGAAGCTCCTACTTGCGTCAACGATCAAAAATCAAAGATGCTGTTCTGTACGCTAAACAGTCGGAGATAAGGTGGGCCGGACACGTAATGCGTATGAATGACAACCGATGGACTAGAGCCGTTACTGACTGGATTCCCCGGGATGTCAAACGTACCGCAGGAAGACCACCGGCCCGATAGCCAGAGTTCTTCACAAACAGCTTTGAAGAAGTTATAATGCTCGACGAGTCCCTAGAGCGAGCAGAACCCACTGGGCTACTCTTGCACGTGACAGGGAAAAATGGAGGATTTACTGGCGCCCGCTCGAATCACTCGACGATCAACGAGACTACAGGTGATTGAAAAACCAGCCTCGTCGCAAAGGTGTTAGCTAGATGTTAGCCTAGAAAGTTAACCGAAAGATCGTGCAAGGTGTTCTAGCGATCGTTCAAACAGTGGTCCTTTGCTGGTTATAGACAACTCGCCTAGTACACGTTGGACGCCTTGCGAAGAACAACGCTGTAGGCTATGTGCCTTATCAGCAACCCCAAAATTTTTCTTCGTCTTTCCTCTTGGTCCTGTTCTCCCTTTTCAATGTCCTAGTTTGTTTAGATCATTTTATTTGATATCGTGTAAAAGCTTGTTGACTGGCCTTGTGAATGGTCACTACCGTACTCTACTGGTTTCAGTAACTACCGTGAGTAGTTTTTCTGCATTTTAGTCCGCCTGCAGTTCTCATCTGGTTCATTTTGCTCAATGTGAAGCGTTTCCAAGAACTAATGTTAAATTTTGGCAATCTAAAGAGGGTTTAAGATCTTATTCAGTTTGTAAAAGTATAGGAATTACATTCCATATTGTTTCTTTACGGGGTAGTTCGTCAACATTGTAAAATCTTGTACGTGCTTTCAGACAAATTGGCCAAGAACGTCAAAGCTTGTAAGATTTAAGACCGTGTAAGATTGTAGGACTTCAAGAATCTCGTTGACGGGTGATTGCTAATGGCACTGGTAGATAGAAAACTAGCTGAGAAACAGGCGAAACGAAGGACCCCCATGATGTGGTGGTGAACGTGTCACCCTGGAAAAGGTGGCAGCGCGTTCGTTCCCCACCGCACATATTTGCGGGCCGGAGTTTTGCAAATATCTCAGTTTTATTATGCTCTTAAGACTATTTAAACTGTTATTTTGGCTGGTTCAGCACCTCTGTTTGTCTCTAACGTGTCACTGATCGGCAGTTCATTTCATGCCATTTTTCAAAATCATCTCTTCAACCCTTTTCAAATAAGCAACACCTTCACATTATCTTACGTTATACTGTCAGTGAAATTATGGAGCAAAAAGAAAACGAAATATTTTGGAACGTTTTTCCGCCTAGTAGATCTTAAAAGTTCTTCTTTACAGTTGATTTTTAGATGTTATGATAAGATATCCTCTCGGTGAGCTCTTGCTGAGGCGTTTCTTCCTCACCAGAAGACATCGAGCGATCAAGTGAGTCTCATTTCACAAATGGAAAAATACCTTAACTTTGCCTAACTAGTAGTCATGAAATGCTGGTCAAGATGAAGCTGTTCTCTATGTTTACCACTGAAGCTCTGTTTCTTATATAGAAAATTTTATACAGTGTTTCAAAAATTAAGAGATTACATAATAGATTCTTTTAGAGAAGTGCTATTACCGTTACTGATTGGTGTTACCCTGGGTTATGTTTTCGGATTCATAGTCAGTTTCGAGGACTTCGATTCTATTGATCACATTGCTGAGGTTAAACATGGTCAGTTCTTCTTCGCAATATCAGTCTTCGACATGACGTATATGAAAATTACAAATGAAGTTGGTAATTTCAATGATGCTGAGTTACTTGCAAAACTCCGGACCGCAGGTGTCTGCGGTGGGGACGAACGCGCTATTGTCCTTTCCGGGAAGTAACGCGTTCACCACCACACTAAGGGTGTCCTTGGTTTCGCTTGTCTCTTAGCTAGTTCTATCGATCTCGGCCAACAGCAATCTCCCGTCAGCGAGATTGGTCTGGGGAGCCCAAATCGGCAACGAACCCATTTAAGCTGAGGCTGTGGTTATAATCACAATTTTAACTTATTACTTACTGCTTACTCTTTTTAAAATGGCACGGTATATTGCGAAATATAACTTCAATGATGCCGAAATATTTGCAAAACTCCGGACCGCAGGTGTCTGCGGTGGGGACGAACGCGCTATTGTCCTTTCCGGGGAGTAACGCGTTCACCACCACACCATGGGTGTCCTTCGTTTCGCGTTTCTCTCAGCCATGTTTTATGCTTGCTATCAGCAATCACCCAGACACTTGCGGTCCGTTGTTTTGCAAATGTCTAAGCATTATAGAAATTATATTTTGCAACATACCCTGCCATTAAAAAAAGTAGGGAGTAAATAATAAGTTAAAGAAGTTAGTAATATTAGAAACAATGATTCACTCATTATTTCATAAACAATCGATCGAGTTGATCGAGAACAAGTAGAGCTTCTATTCGTCTCTACTGCGCGCCACTTAGTGAATGGTCGCCTCTGCCACGAGTGATGAGGACCAGACTTTTGCTATCGGTTTATCTGTGACTATCTAAGATGAGAGGGTGCTCTGCGATAGCATGCCGGGATCTGCGGTGGTGTCTGTGAGCAGCTACTTAGGCTCTTCTAAGTGATCGCATTGCTTATTTGTTGGAGACAGCCCTAACCTTCTCCAATGGCAAAATGAATTTTGGCAAAAACAGCACAAGTGACACATTCCATATACACGCAATCACGGCTGACGGCGTTTGCATGAATGTGGTAGTACATAGACAAAAGATTGGGTCAGTCCGGCTCAGCACAAGTAGGAAATCCATTTATGTCAATTAACTCAGAGCAACCTCCCAACTATTTGCCGCCTCACCATGGCTAGGTGTTCCTGGGTGTCGGACTGCGATGTAGAGTGGGGTATTCAACCCTTGGTTGGGTCTCACAAGCTAAGAAGTCCGATTTCTCCACCAGGAAGGCCAGCTAAGATTAAGCCAATATCGGGATCTGTCATCGTCATGGTCGCAAATCTCCCTCTGATTCTACGTGGGCAGCGACCGCCTATGATGATGACGACCTGGAGTAGACTTTGGCCTGGCTGACCTTGGACTGCACGGAAACACGGTGGCTAAACCAGCAAAACTCCAAGAAAGTGGAGATTATGCTGGGGCCCACACAACCAATGAGGACAGACCATCCAAATTGGTAAGTACTTCCAGTGCAATTTCGTTTTTCTAGTCAGCTAGTGGTTCCATGTTGTTACTTATTTCACTATAGGATGCTCATCTTCGTACAGTTTGCCACATGGCACATGGGACTTTTCGTTGTTGCCACAGAACAAACCTCAAACTTGGGTAATTTTACTGTATATATTTAGTATTAATAATACAGTAAGAACGACATGGCGATAACGATACTCTAAATGTGAAAAGTATTAACACTAACGCGATCACTGGGCAGAAATGATACAGAGAGTAACAAGAAACACTACCAATTCTGCAATAACTTTCGCAGTAACGCTTAGTTGAAGATCACTGTATAAAGATGAGTTCAATGGTATAGTATGAGAGACTACACGTATGATGTACAGATTGGTGGTGGTTCTCCTAATTGACTGGTATGGTACGCAGCCATTCGAAGGGAACATAAGGAAACAATTGCAGAATGTAAATATGAGGATAACTTTACTGCCAGCAATTATAGGAAAAGTATTGTAACATTTGGTGGTAACTACTGCTGCTTATTTGAGTGAAGAGCTTAAAGATTGAAGTCTACAACATTGGGTAAAGCAAGAAGGTGAAAATAGTGACAGGAACAATACAAGGCAAAGTTTGATATGGTTATTAGTAAACATAGCATAGGAAACGCGCGGCAATATGAAAAAGTGGTAACTACTCGAGGTGACAGTTACCATTTTAACTTATTATTTACTGCCTACTCTAGACTCTAGACTCTATTTATCGATAGAACTAGCTAAGAGACAGGCGAAACGAAGGACCCGCGTGGTGTGGTGGTGTACGCGCTACTCCCTGGAAAGGACAATAGCGCGTTCGTTCCCCACCGCATACACCTGCGGTCCGGAGTTTTGCAAATATTTCAGCATCATTGACTATTCTTTTACTCACTTATTCTATTCACTTATTCTCACTTTTACTATTCTTCAACCTTTGTGTCACGGCAAGTACAGGACCGCTTTCGGTTTGTGTTTAACTGCCTATCGGCATTACGAGAAAACGGTGAAGACGCCACCTAACTCTGTAACTAACGGACTTGAGGTCAGCTACGTGGTGAGATGCATTGAAGTATTTAATCGAGCATTTAGTAATATTGGAAACTGCATAGTAATATCACATTTGGTGAAAATTTAGCAACAAGTTGCTCTCTTTTTCATCAACGACCCTGACCCCTTTTTATGTGTTTCATGCACATTAGACCGAAAGTTGTTGGTCAGATTTTGAGAGCCAATCCTCCATTCACATTGATGTACCAATTCAGTGACTTATATTCTTATAAGTAAGCAGTGACGGAAATTGCAGAAATCAATATTTTTAAGTATTTACAGTTTAAGAAACCATAAAGCGATTTTTCAAAAATTATGAAGTTGTATCGTCTTTTAGACTTTCAAATCGATAAGTCGTAGAAAAAAAGTGGTTTGCAATCTTCAAGGAAGCAGTCGCCTAATCACATTACATTTGGGCGAGCTCCTCGAACACTCATAATATTTCTCAGATGCATTTGATAGTCTTATATCAACATTTTTATTCACGACACCATTGAAATTCGGCCATCGGCGTAGATTATCCGTGTTTTTTTATTTTTTTGTGCTGAGGCGAACGTACAATCGGCTTAGTTTCCAGTCAGCATCTCCACCCGAGCTACATGAGCATATTTAGGAAAGGATTTGGTCCTAGAGATGTTCTTACCAATAAAAGTGTGTCCTTTTCTTAACCGGAGGCGGTAGATTACCGTCACGCTCTACACCTTAATCAAATTTTATGCATGGAGAAGTGGCGGACGAACTGACACAGTACAGAGGGATAGCGCTTCAGCAACTAAATACGGATACTGGTATCTTTTTAAGTACCAGTTGGAGAGGAAAAATCTTAAAGTGTCCGCTTTACTGCCGTAGCATTAACACACATATTCGTCAACCTTATGGATAAGAGAGGGGTTTTATATCTTGTAATCATGCCGATGCAATTTTTTAATATTGATTTGGTGTGAGCTGAGTTTCAGAATACATTTTGTGGATCACACACTTTCGATATAAGGGATTTACTCCACATTGCAAATGACACTTAGAAATCGCAGAAGTTTGTTTGAATAGTCCAATTTACAGTGCCGTTACCAAAAAAAGAAGAGGATTGAATTTTCACCTGGGAGTTCTCATTTGTCCGAGATGGGGTGATAGGTGGTGGATTAGGTGATCAGGAAGTTGTCTGGCATACCTAAAATCTAGCTTTTGAGTTTTTCGCTGAAGTTGAAGAAAAACTTCGCTGAGTAGGCTGCATATTAATATGGTCCTTTGTGTCCAGTGAATAAGATGATGTCCGCCGAAATGTGAGCTGTTGTGAAATGCTTCGTTATGAAACTCGTGTAATTTCATTTTGAACAAAGTAAACTCCTTAAAGCTCTGTAGTTGTTGGTTAAATAGCATGGGTAAAGTTTATCCGCTTTCGTACTGCAACAGTTATCGTTGGATGCTGTTCACCGTATTCAATCAACGCGCTTAACAGTAACACTCCAATGTTACCATCGATGTAGCCATTGACCTTTATCAAAACTTAAATAATAATTCACCGACATCAGTTAATCTCGGCGTTAATATTTAAGTTTTTTCGTACTTAAATTGTTGAGCCTACCCGAGATTGATTAATAGATTTATTCGGCTAACGTTTCGACGTTTTTGTCTTCATCAGAGCCTATGATATATATGCATTCAATCACCTCTAACAATGCACTGTGAAGTCGAATGCATGGTACATCCCTCAGGAATCGTTCAACGCCAAGAGCTTTATCCTTTTATCCTTTATCCAAAATGCAGTAGTTTTCCTGTTGATATTCTTGGTCCCTGTACCGGAATCGTGACTGCGACTTTTTTGAAGGGGTGAGTTTCACTTATCCTTCATGAGCCTCATACCCGTAGCTCTCACTCCTTATCAAATGGAAACGGTGAGTATTCGGACTACTACTTTTTCTGTGTATAAACCCACCAGTAATTCTATAGAGAATTTACCGAATTGCCTGCAAGAAACTCGTGCAGACTTTGAGGAGAACGAATTCGCCGAAACGTCAAACGTAGAAATCCATCGATATGTGTTAACAACCTCGCGTTAGCTCAACAAAGAGAGTTCATAAGTGTTAAGAAGCCAAAGTATTTCAGATGTCTCTGAGTCGACTCTGTTCTTTCTGCGATGCTTAATCATGGTGCATCCAGAAGCAAAGGTGAAGTGTCGCATTGTTGCATTTGCCACCATGAGATGTTACTATAAAGAGTTCACTCGATTCCTAGTTGTACGCCAGACGCCATATTTCACTGTCAAGTTGACTATTTGACTTGAATTCTTCAGAAACCTGTTAGCTTTATAACTGCTATTCGTGATACGTACGGAAGTGTGTGCAATCAGACGATTTATTTCATTCACTCTAAGGAAATAAGGAAAAAAGTAGCTGGTAAGGCGTGATGACATCTCTCACTTACATCTCTTTATCCCACTTCGTCTCTTTTTTATACCTTTCTTTTCATCAATAGATCAATTTGTCACGGTCGTCAATTCTTCATCGAACGCATTTTACTGGAATTACTACAGGGACTTACTTGTGAATGCATCGGAGGTTTGAATGTAATAGAAAAACATATGTAAATATAAAAAATTATGAACATAATTCTGTGTTATAAAAATATAAAATTACATATAAAAATAAAAAATTATATATATATAAATTATAAAATTTCCATATAAAAATATATAAATTCCATATAAAAATTCCGTTGGCGTTTTTACTAGCCTCATATCTCTTCGTATGAAAACAAAGCTTGAATCCTATTTTAAGCTCTCTTTAGGTACCAGCACTCTGGACTTATATCGGCGATGAACAAGGTTTTTTGGTCATTGGTAATCTGCGGAAACTCGTCCACAGCTATAATCACAGGCATCCGATTATGTTCGGACGGATTTTCATGCAAAAGTCAGTCATGGTTAGAGTTTTCCCCAAAGACTTTTATACGAAGCTCAAGAAGCTGGAATAAACAGCGATAGGTTCATGGTCAATTTTCGTTGCCACGGTAGCTGTCAAAGTGGGAATCTTGCCCAGTAGATATCACAGTGCTATTTTTAAAAATATTGTTACATTCGTACACCTTTTCCGCGAGCAAAATGAGCCTCATACTATGAGAAGACCTTCCACCATCAACATTGGACAGTGCAGACACGAGGTGCTGCTTTATTTTTTCTTGGTGAAAAATAAATAAAACTTTTTCGTCAATGAAGAATAAAGTAACACTCATGCTTTCTCAACGAAAGTAAATAAACGATAAAGCTCTCGGCGTTGACCAATCTCTGAGGAATGCGCCATGCATTCAACTTCATTTCGGAGGTGACTGAATGCATATCCGACCTTTACAATGACTCGCGGTGGCACACCGATGTATCGAGCTAATGCTGCTATGCTCCCAGAAAGGTATGGTACCAATTTCCCGACCCCGGAGAGTTGGAAGGCTTAGTGGGCCAGGGGCGCGGGGATCGATCCCATTGTGTGTTGCAGGGTGCCTCCGAACACTGCACCACACGCACCCTCTCAACGAGAGTGTAGAGAATTATTTCATCAATACCGAGGTTAATAGAAAGTTGGTCTTGAGAATTACTGAAAAGTGTATTTCTCTGAACCGAAGCCTTCGTTTATCGCACAGTACAATAAGTAGCAAATCTCTTTCTAATAGAGTCTTTTCTAATCTCTCGTTGACATAGCTCGCAACCATGTGACTGTTGTAATTCCGGAGGTCATAGGGTTCGCAGTCAGAATGTAATGAAGCCTACAATTTTAAGATCAATTCTGTCCTACGTATTTCCGTTCCTACAACGCGAGCGGATGTCAGTGCGGAGCGGAGTCGTCATGAGTACATCGGTAAGTTAACAGGTGCCGCATTGGTGCTAATCTTTTCTAGCTGATCCCTTATTTTATGGTATTCTTTTTTTCTCGACCTTCTAATGCTTACGGCTTCATATAGAATGCTTTAGCTATCATTTACATTATCTGTAATGCCGGTAGTAAATAGTGGACTGCGTTTTTTTGAAAATGAATAAACCAAAAGCTTTTAATCCTCCCATCGCATGTCAAAACTGCTTAGTAAGATCAATTTGTTCGACAGATACTATGAGCACTGTTGCTTTCCTATTTTTTTCAAAAGGAATAAAATTAAAGGGGCTTCGTAGGAGATGGTGGCGTCGAGACTATGGTGCCATTCTGTGTTTAGAGTGCATGTTTTTTGGCGTTGGAATCTTTTATCGACGGCCAAATGATAGTATAGGGGTAGGAAGACCAACTATTGTGCTATCAAAAAAAGTGAAGGGTTTTTGACTCGCACAATCTTCATTGCTCGATTTTCCTCTGACACTATAGCGAGTGTCATGAGGTACAAAATGCCACTTTTTCTACCATTCTCATGGACGTAGGAAGAAAATTAGACACTGTTAGGTCAGAAGCGGTCCATCTGAGTGCGGAAAACCTCTGTTGAGTAGATCCTTGCTGACTTATGTAGCAATTTCAAGGCAGGAGTTTCGCCAGCCTACAACGAAATTATCCATTTTATCATAAAGTTATTTTCTTAAATGTTGCATACAAAATCCGCAGCAGAAAAATATGTATGAATGTCTGTGACCCGCCAAATCATAATGTTCTCCTCGTTGATAATGTTATTATTATAAAGTTAATCATTAGTTAAGTGGCACGATTGCTGCCTGACAGCCCGTCGATCTTTTTGTGACCCTAAAGAAAACGATTTTCATAAAAAATGGATGTGTTAATGATGCTCCATTTGCACTCAGCGGAACGATATCTACGAGAGAACGAGCGGGCAACGTGAGAAGCGTGTAAGATGCAGTGCAGAGGAGAGAACACCGTGATTTACCCCTGAGAATCTAATCCTCTTCTAACCGAAACAGAGAGGAATGTGACAAATGTAGGATTCGGCTATCCGAGGTTCTAACTTACGTCGTCGATCAAATTTAAGGACTAGTTCAGAAACAATGCGTGCTCGTACGTCTTCAAGGCAACCGATCGACACCAGTCGTTAGAAATTGGGCTCTGCGAATTATGGGGTACACGAAAACTAGCAACTGATTGATTTGAATCCGTCACAAAGAGCTGATAAAAGTGGTCTGTCTGTAATAATTTGCTCATGGTCGCGTGAAGAATAAACTACCTGAAATTTTTACATCTGAAATCTTTCAAAACAGCAAATATTCAAACCAAAAAACCGTCCTCTGAAGAGAGCACTGCCGAGTTATGTTGAGTCATACGGACGGTTCTCCATTGATTGAAGAAGATATGACTCGATATGACGACGAAGACACCATCTCAAGAAGATGAATGAACGACTGCTAGCCATTGACTCACTCTGAAGAAGACGATAGCGTCGAAACGTTAGCGGAATAAATATTTGATAACAACCTTGTGTTAACTTATCAATGAAATAAGCTACAAAATGTTCAGTTTTCATGAAAGTTTTGTTATTACTTTTCATGTGGGCGCTTAGTTCTGATGATTCTTCGACGATGTATTTTATTGCCGCTCACAGCGTAATATTTCAGGCAATTAAAAATATCTCAAAGTGCACGAACTTTTTCTTGCCGAGAGCCACTGAGATAGCGCTTATCAAGTGTGCTAAACAAAATGGCATCAGAGCTGTTAATCCAGTAGATGAGGTAATAGAACATCTGTTTCTGTCGATACTGCTATTTATTACAAATTTTAGGCTAAAGGAAGTTTTATTCTTCGAAATTAAACACTTTTCCTACTTATATATATATATATATATATATTTTTGCTTGGCTTCCTCTTTAATAGTGCAACCCCAACGATGCTGAGATATTTGCAAAACTCCAGACCGCAGGTGCTTGTGGGGGGACGAACGTGCTATTACCCTTTCCGGGGGCTAACACGTTCACCACCACACCATGCTGCTCCTTTGTTTCAATAGTACTTTTTCTTTTTTCTGTGACCTGAATTAAGCAGCTGCGAATGTATAAAAGAGAAATGCTTTGATTCATGAAAAATCGTATTCGTGGTTAAGGCACCAGACCTAGCTGCTCTTTTACCCAGTGAGCTAAAATTCACTTTTAACCATATTAGACATGAACGAAAACTTTCTTCCGGAGGTTAGCGTAAGCACAGATCTGATTGGTTGGGAAATACTCAAATATTTGTTATCCTGCACCAATGCTGTCTCAAGCGCGCGAGTAATTTCTAGCATGCATCCATTCTTAATTTGGTTTTCGGATGAGAGCACTGAATTCCTTCAGTGTTTAATGGGCGATCTTTTTGCAAATAAAAATTGTACAATGAAGGGCACCATTGCTTTGCGTGAATTATAGAGAGAAAAAGGATTTTGGACTAAAATGTCAGGTGTTTGGGACGGAAAAAGACGGAAATGCTAGCTTTTGGATCCGAACGGCTTTTCGAATGCAAGTGATGAATAAAAGTGAATAAAGGTAAAATTTAAATTAACCTGCAGCTTTAATGACGGAGGGGCAGACATTGGCCAGACTGGTCTCGGTACTCAGGAAAACACAGTAGCTAAACCAGCAAAACTCCGAAGAATAGAGAATACACTAAGGCCCACACAATCATCGAGGACGGGACGCCTAAGTATTCAAGTAAGTAAGTTACTTGACGAAACCACTTTTCCATGGATGTCCCTCATGAAGGCATCCGTTGGGTGCGTGGCAATGTAGCGCTTCCACAGGTGGTGGGTGGGGAGACAAACGCATGCCAAAGCGACAAGGAACTTTCCTGAGACGTGGTTCAACCCACGAGGTGGATTCCCTGTTTTTTTTGCTTATATATATACCTTCTGTATCATTATAAAGTTATTCATGCATCCGTGCATGAGTGTGCTCACGTATAAGCAGATTGAGTTTCCTTCAGTTCGCACAAAGGTCTACAGTCATTTGAATGGGAAGTACAGGTAAATGGTGAATGGGAGTCGCCTCCAAAAAAATAAGTTCTATTTCTAGTCTGAGAAAAGCTAGAGAGCTAGTTGCGATTATACCGATTCTCGACGTTGACACCTTGGCAAGCTACTCATGGGCACTAAAAGCCGAACTACTTACTTGGATATTTGGGCGGACCGTCTTCACGAGTTGTGCGAACCCCAGCACATATGCTATTCGTTTGTTCCTCTCGCAATCGTAGTCCATGGTGGTGGTCTTGTTCGAGCATGGTAGCGCTTGCGAGTCTCATACCGTGACCTGTAAAACAACTGCAGCTGCGGGTACAGCTGATTAACCTTGTTTACGAACACATCCGCCCAACGTGTAGGTGGTCGTACTAAGGGACGTTTGCATTCTCTTGGAACCCACACTAGTGTTCTTTTCGTCCATCTGTCGTCGGCTCTTCTCATCATGTGACCGGCCCATCTATGTTTCGCTATCGATGTATATTCTCTTGGATCTCGAAGATGTGACAGATTTCGAAGGTCAGAGCTTCGCATTCCGGCTACATATTGAGAGTGCCGGTTATATTTCAGAAGACATCGTTTAAGCGCTCTGTAAGTAGTTCGAAGCGTTCTTGACGTAGTTGAAGTATCCACGTCTCTGCAGCGTAACAGAGCGCTGGGAGGACCGTAAAATCAAAGAGATGAGCGCGGATTTTCGAGTCCTTCAGTTTGTCGGTGGCTTCTTTAAGAGGTCCAAATGCGGTCCAACCCGCTCTCCTTCTTCTATCTAGTTCCTGCTTCATGTTGTTTTCCATGTTCATTGATCACCATAAACGCACGAGATGGTCTTTCCAATGATAGAGCCGTCCAATTCAATTCTTTCGCCTTTGCGCCACGGGTTTTTCATGAACTGGGTCTACTTTCGATTCATGCGAAATCCGATCTTTTTCTCCGCTTCGTTGAGCTCGTTGATCATCACTTCTGCTTCACCAGTGCTTCTTGAGAAGATGACAATGTCGTCGGCAAAACGAAGGTTTGATGGGAATATTTCATCAATATGTATGCCTTTCTTATACCAATCGAGTGACTTCATTATCCACTGCAGTGCGGCAGTGAACAGCTTTGGCGATATTGTGTCGCCCTGTCGAACCCCTTTTCTTATGGGTATTGTAAGAGGTCGATGGAAAAGCTGCATTTTCGTAGTGCAGTTCCGATAACAGTCGGACAGAGTCTTTATGTAGGACGGCTCCACTCCTTGGTCGACGAGCGCTGATAGGATTGCATTCGTTTCGACACTGTCAAACACTTTCTTATAGTCGACAAAGGTTAGGACTAGAGGCAAGTGGTATACCCGACAAACTTCGATGACCCTGGACACGGTTTGGATGTGGACCATGCAGCAAAATCCTTTTCGAAATCTTGCTTGCTCGACTGGTTGCCTCTCATCCAATGTTCCTGATATGCTTGAGAGGATAATATCCGTGAAGAGCTTGTAGAGTACACTTAACAAGCATATGGGACGATAGTTACGAAGATCCCTTCGGTCTCCTTTCTTGGGTAGGATAACCGTGGGCGACGTTCTCCACTGGTCTGGGATTTTCTCCTTTTGAAGGTAGCCTGTCATATGATTTGTGAGAAGTGCATGTAAATTGTGGTCTCCAGCTCTAAGGAAATCGGCAGTGATATTGTCGGGTCTTGGAACTGTGCCTCTTTTCATGCTTCCGTTCTTTTTCCTTGCTTCGTTGAGTTCGTTGATCATCACTTCTGCTCTTTTCATGCTTTGTATCGCAACTCGAACCTCCGACGGAAGAATTCCAGGTGGCTTTTCTCCAGCGGGGATATTAGGGCCAGGGACGAGGATTGTGGAACAGAAAAGGTTGGTGTAGAACGTTTCCGGTATTAATTCCATATCATAGCGCGAAGTTTTGACGATCCCATCTTCGTTCATCAGGGCTGACAGCGGAACATAATCACACAAGTTCCGACGGTATTTTTTCAGACTGCTTCTTTTCTCTGCTGCTACCAGTATTTTCTTCCGCTTGTACCTTTGCAGATCTTCTGCAAAGCTCTTCTGCAGCTGGCATTTATTACTAGCCATGTTAAACGTGTTGCAGTAGGATCAAGTTTCAGTTTCCTTCTCTTTTCGAGCAACTCCTTAGTAATGATGGAGATGCGATCCGTTCTTCCTGCTTGAGGAACTGATGCTAACTCGGCACAACTTTTCAGTCTTTCGACAAGCAGCTCGTAGTCCTCGGTCAGGTTTTCTCTAATCTGGCAGTCACGTTTGGACAGGACTTCGTTCAGAATGTTCTCGTCCTATACAGCTAAACTTTTTCCTCGTGTTCGATGAAGTTTTTTTTGCCAGTTTGCCGCTAAATCGTACAGAATGACCGGACTACCGATGTGTCAAATAGGCACCATCTTCTGTTTGTCAAAATATGGTCGATCTCCGTTGGAAGACTCCCATGTCCAGCGGCACCTTTCTTTCTTCTGGAAGAACGAGTTCCCATGGAAGAGACGTGCTGCTGACAGGAGTCCTGCGAGACGGTTCCCATTCTCATTTCTTTCTCCTAATCCAAAATTTCCGATTCTGTATTCGCTCTCATTGGTCTTTCCTATTCTGGTGTTGAAGTCTCCAACAACAAATCTATGATATACTTTATTATTACGGATGACTTCCTCCAACTGATAGTAGAACGCATTTAATTCGTTCTCATCAGCTACATGGGTCGGTGAGTAGCAGTTAATGATAGTGATCTTCTTATGATGTGACAGTTGAAGACGGAGGACGGTTATGCGAGGGGAAAGGATCCCGTATGGGTCGACGAGATGGACAATGGACAGGTGGACGACAAAGCCTACGCCACCGACATTTCGTGACGGGACCTTTTCTCCGCGGATCACAAGGGTCTCGCTGTTTAGTTAGCGTATGTCGGTCTTCTTGATTTTTGTTTCTTGTAATGCGATCACATGAAATTTAATTCGATCTACGGCTACAAGAAGGGCGTGAAGATCGGCGTCTGTGGAGAGTGCTTTGGTATTATACGTTCAGAGTGAGAAACAATCTCCATTACGCATCGTGCGTGTGTTCGTCAGATCCGGTTCCAATGACGGCCTGCATAACCCGAGATTTTGTGAACTCTCACCGGTCGTCTCACCGCCTGACGTCATAGACGGATAGACGGCAGCACCCAGTGTGCGGGGTACTGAGGCGGGCCTATTGCTAGTCGTGCAACTTGGTCCACCCTGGAGTCCTGACGCAACCTTGTAAGGGCGTATCCAGGTCTTCACCACGACGTGGATCAGAGGGAGCTGTGTTTTCGACGACGAATCCTTCGCTCGGTCTTCCTACTAGTTGATTCGGAGAGATGTTAAAACCGAAGAAACGGAAATAGGAATGTAAAAGTAACCGACCGCTCAAGGACTATGTAGAAGCCGAAATCTCCGGAAGCCGAAAACCGAAAGCCGAAAGGCTGAACACAGAATAAATAGGCCCCATTCCCTTGATTCAAAAGAATCCCATTAGGAAATGTGGGTAAAAATAGCCTTCGAAAATCTCGGTGTCATCTTAGGCTGCCTAAATCTATGAGGGCTACAATTAAAAAGGATAAAACGATGAAGGTTGTCGATCAATCCGTGAGAGTTACACTGGCTCGTGTATTCGACTTCATCAGTCGTTTGATTAAGTTCATATCTGGCTTTTGGAATGACTCACCGTGGTTTACTGATTTCTCGGGTTAGTGCCACTATCCTTCCAAGCAGATCTCATGTCAATTTGCCCACCCTGGAGCGATAAAGAGCTTGGTGAGCCTGGAACGCGCTACACGAGCCTAAGGCTATAGTTACAATCTGTAATCTAACTCATCGGTACTTGCACCTCATTTCTCTGTTGAAGGCCCGATTCTGCAGGCTAGGAGGATTAGGTGCGACCGTATACGGAAGATTGAGACGATTAGACTCCACCAATTAAAACCGTCTGTCATACTGGTGAAGAGCTGTTCTTCAAAACATGCGGCAGTAGAGGTACAGACGACGTTTTCATCAGCTCATGGTTGAGCAGCTTGGTCGTCTACGCTTCCACATCAAGATATGATAATTGCGAGACCGAAGAGTTCCATATAGGTTCCGAGGGCTGAAGCGTTCTATATGGGCTCAGAGAAGTCCTGTAGATTAGCGTCGCATCTAAAAAGTCATCTGTGGTGATTTCGAGGCCAAGATTGGCTCCGGGAAAACGTCTGAAGAGCCTTACATCAGGACCCACAGATAATAATGAAAGAAATAGCGTGGGTAGCTCTCTGAGTTTATCATAACGTCAAACATGATTCTCAGAAACTCACAGTTTCAGGCGCTGCAATCTCTCCATTGGAAGTGGGAGTTTCCCTGTGGAGAGTACCATGACGAGATAATACTTTGCTCAACTTTTTCTCCCTTAGTACTCACTTTTTTCCCGAGAGCAAGAGAAACTAAGAAGCATCAATACAGCTTCTGAGAGGATGCTCTTCTTACCAAGAGTCGTCGCTGTTCAGAAACACTCGAGCTAATACGTCAACATAGGATCACGTGAGCAGTAAGGGGTCACCAGCTAATGTCCGAACTTCCAAAATTGAACAATAAGGCAATGAGAAAGCTCTTATAAGAGGAAGAGCAACAGTGGGAAAACTACAGAGGTCGGGAAGAGCATTTGTAACGCCAATCGAAATTTCGTCAATCATGAGATTGAAATGATTCCAGATTCCAACATATCAAACCAAAAGGAAAACGTTGCTGACATTAACAGCTGTCGCGCAATCCACCTGTTGTCTGTCTTTTATAAGGTCTTCACACAAATCATCCTAAACAGGATAGAGAGAACACCGAACAAAGGACAACAATGTGAGCAAGCAGGGTTTGGAAAAGGATTTAATACGAATGTATATGTCCACGCAATAACAAGACCTAAGGAAGTACCGCGATAGTAGAACCACTTTTTCCCACTTCTTCCCACTTAAAAAACTTTTGATTAAGTTTAGATAGAAGTGGTTATGGATGCTTTGGGCAGCCAGCACATCTTTACTCAGTATACAAAGATTCTTTGTGAGCTACACAACAAATTTGACCACCGCGATCTCGAAATTCTGGAACGATATTAGCCTGGACCTCAAGAGATGGACTGGAGAAAGTAATACTTTTTTGCCATAATTTTTCATGGCAACTCTCGAGAACGTCATGGAAACTGGGTTGAAAATACATGGGAATGAACGTACCGTAACTGGATCATTTGGATCATTTTCGCTTTGCTGATAATATCGTTCTTAATGCTTGCCAGTTTCGATAAGGCCTAATGGAAAGATTGTTTTTGAATTGACTCTCAGGAAGAGAATATTCGTGAGAAACGGATTTGCTTTCGATGCCAACCACGCGAGTCGGGTCGATCGTGTATTGCAGGACGCCTCCAACCACTGCGCTACACAAGCCCTATCGCGACTTTGAAAAGGCGTTACTAATGATGCTCCGTACTACTCATCTGAAGAAGTGTGAAATGTACAAAATACATCAACAACCAAAGATGCGAGGCGACGTTGTGCTAGCCAAAGTGTCAAAAAATTAATATTTCTCAAACCGACTTCATTAAACCTCAAACCTTCAATTAATTAAAAAATTAGTCGAGGAAGATGAAGGAAATCAGTTGAGCCAGACATGTGATGGTCTAAGCAATAACAAGAGCTATGGGGAACTGGAGTTCCTCAACATACACTTGCTTACTTGGCACTTGAATGACTCGTCCTCACCGGTTATGCTGCCCCCAGCATAATCTCCATTTTTTGGAGATTTGCTGGTTAAGCCACTAGGGCTCCCTGGAGTCTTGAGGTCGGCCTGGCGAAAGTCTGCCCCAGGTCTTCGCCACCACAGGTAGTTGCAGTCCTTGTGGATCAGAGGGGGTTTTACCATCATGCGACTTTGATACCAGGACGGTGGTGGATCCTGGTATTCGTTTACTCTTAGCTAGGCCTCCTGATGGAAACGCGGACTTTTTCTCAGCTTGGGAGACCCTGCTAGAGGATGAATCCCCCGTTGTACATCGCAGTCCAACACCGAGGAACACCTCCTAATCACGATGAGGCGATAAACCGTTGGGAGGTCAACATATACTAGAGGAAGGATATGCTGCTCAACAAGTCCCTAGAGCAAGCGGAATACGGAGCTACTCTCATGCGTGATTACAGATGAAAACTTCACGAGCATCCACTCGAGTCACACGTAGCCGAACGGGAGGGCAGGTTGCAGGTCGTGTGAGTTTATTTTTATCCACAAATAACGCTGTTTTCTACTTTCGTTGTTTTCATTTGTGTTGTACACTACTTTATGGTGTGGGCGCTGAGTCAGAAGTTATCAGCTCACAAATGTTTTGGCCCTTTTGGACCAACAACATTAAATAAGTGGAATTTTCGCAAAACTCTGGAACGCAGCTGTATGCGGTGGAGAACGAACGCGCGCTATTGGCCTTTCCGGGGAGTAGCGCACTTCACCACCGCACCATCAGCTCGTTCTATCGATCTTTTGCCATCAGCAATCACCCGTCAACGGGATTGATCTAGGGAGCCCAAATCGGCATTGAACCCAGTTAAGCTGAGGCTTAGTTATAATCACAATCTTAACCCTTTTTTAAATAAATAAATAAATAAATAGTAGATAAAAGGGTTAAGATTGTGAGGCAGTAATAACTGGGTTTAATGCCGATTTGGGCTGCCTAGATCAATCCCGTTGACGGGTGATTGCTGATGGCAAAAGGTCGACAGAACTAGCTGAGAGACAGGCAAAGCGAAGGACCCGGATGGCGTGGTGGTGAAGTGCGCTACTCCCCGGAAAGGACAATAGCGCGCGTTCGTTCCCCACCGCATACACCTGCGGTCCAAAGTTTTGCAAATATCTCAGCATTATATACGAGTTATATTTCGCAACATGCTCTGCGATTAAAAAGAAAAGCGCAGTAAATAAAAAGGGTTAAAATTGGAATTTTTCTCTAAAAATCCATTCAGTGAATTGATTTCCAGGAAGGGATGCATTTGTTTCATGAGAAGGACGTTAAGACAATGATTCCTCAAACGTACGAAGGCGGCGACCGTAGTCCTGGGGTAATCGCGTGATTCCAGCAGCTTTGATTGCTTACTAATGGTCTTGAGAAATAGAATCTGATTATTTACAGGGGAAAATCATACCCATTTGTTGTTCCGATTATACGGTTTCATTTGGACAAATGAGCTACAAAGACATTCGTTTGATAGATTTCGCTTCGTCGCATTGGAAAGTCTTCGGTGCAGGAGGTGGGTCTTGATTTCTGTAGAACTTGAAATGCCTACTATTTTTTATGGATAGCTTCAAGAATCGAAGCAAGTGGTAATACTAAGATACTTCAGTTCACTGTGTTGTAATGTCAATTTTAGTAAATCTAGTTGACTGGTTAAAATTTTTGGATCTCTAGGACAGTTAGTTTGAAGCATTTTAGAGTATATTGTGGAGCATCTTGTTGTCATTGCGAATTGAAACGGGACACCGCGAAGGGTTTTACCGCCTCATCTTGGCTGATGATTTACTAGGGTTTCGGTTATAATGTAAAGCTGGGTTAGTCCCTGCAATAGGGTTATTCAGGTCGAGAGGTACAATATTTCCATCTAGAAACTAACCAAGAAAAGAAAAACTTGCGCCACGGCATTGCTCGACAAGCTACTGGTAGCTGCCTGACGGAAAATGATGGGAAAGGTGTGTCATACCAAAGGTATTATGCTGTTCGTTTCTTTCAAACGAACGGGGACCACTCAACAGTGTAATATGGACCATAGAGCTCAACCAGTGCGACAACTCTCCTGGGTCGGAGAACTGGTTTCAGAATTATCTGAAAGCAT